TTGGCTCCTTTCTTAATTCTCATCTTATTCCCCAAAAATAGCCAAAAAACAACTAAACAAATCTGTCCTACAGAATTGTTATGTCTCTACGTGGAATCCTGTTGTCATTGTAACCAACAGTAAAATTCATATTCAGGCAGTTTCAGCTAAAACTGATATCTTTAAAAACATATCCAGAGCATAGGAACCTGGATTTATATACTTTTTGCTGGAAGTTCAAGTATTTTGAGCCTTTATATAAACTGAAACTTGCTAGCTGCAAAATGGACATAAAGCTAATTAACTTCTTCATGACTGTTCAGTGAGTACTATTTATATTAATATTTTTTTCAAGAAGGGAAAAAACATAATTCATATTGCCATTTATATTTATATTTATATTTACATGGTACTCTAAGCTGCTTAATTAATGAATCTATAAATTTCAATGTTTGCCTTTCTCCCTCCCTACCATCTGTCCTCCCCTCGTGCATCACTTTTTTCTTTCTAGGTAAAGTCCATGTGCAATTTTCTCTAATCAAAGAAACTCTTAAGTAGACAACTCTTTCTTTCTCTTTCTTTCTTTCTTTCTTTCTTTCTTTCTTTCTTTCTTTCTTTCTGGGTGTTGTTATTTGTCTATTTTTCCTTCTATAGTATAGGTATAGAAAAAGCAGATTTATTCAGGAAAAAGGTTTCTTTTATTAAATTTTTGGTCCAGACAATGTAGTTTGGTGTGACTGAAAAACTAAAACAGTAAATTCAGACCATCACCACCACAAGGTCTATCAGTTGAAGTCTCTGAACCTCCAAGTCATGAAAATGGCAAAAAAAAAAATTGGGGCCATTAAACTTGTAATTTGGAGTAGAATTGTGATAATTTACTGGAAATTTCTGGGTGTCTTTAACTGATGCTGGTTTCTTTCTGCCTATAAGCTGTAACCTTTTGCCCACAAACCAAACAAAAATTGTTTTACTGTCAATTGCTTTCTACTTTTACACAATAAGATATATGCAAAAGGATGCAAAGGACAATGTTGCAGCTGACACAAGAAGGAAACCATACAGAAATCAGCTGGAAAATGTTCCCAGTACAGGATGCTGTCCTTAGTACTAAAACAAATCCTACATATAAATTTTCAAAATAAAAATTAAACATCCCCATTCTTGGTTCTGATTTATATAATAGTGTATTCTACACGTTTGTGCCTTTTGGAAACAAATGTTCAGTGTGAAAGCTTTTCTGTGACTTCATCAATGGCTGAAAGGAGCTAAAACCAAAAAATGTCATTTGGACAATGATATTGGGAAAACCAATTAACATTAAATTAGGCTGAGATTATATATCATAAGCAATTAGTGTGGGGCTTTGAAAAGTACTGTCCCTCTCTGATGCTTTCAAACCTTTCAGTGTTAATATTCCAATAAAAATGCTATTTTCCCCTACAGGTTTCATAAAGAATGAATTTTTGATTACTCAGTCTGGTTGATCAGACTCACTTTATTAGAGTTGCTTTTTACTTTCCAAACTTCAGCCATTTATTTCCCTCTCTTTTTCTCTCTAAGAACTTCAACAAACACTGCATTTACTCCCCCGCCCTGCAAATGGTAAAAGAAAGTTACCTTTTATTTATGAGTGATCATTTTTTCCTGTCTATATTTTGACAAATAACATGGCAGAAAATGATTAAGGGTCTCATTTTGCAATGTGACTTGTATGTTATTTATTGTTAAAATAAAAGTCACTTTGTGGATTGAAGTTTTTAATCATTTTTCCCCTCTGTCAGGAAATAGTTTTGTCAAAAAGTGATGATATTTGACAGTGCTGTTTTTTAATGACAACTACAATCCTGGTAAGGAGTTTATCAGTAATTATTTCACTGTAGTATAATTATATGGATAAACTATTATCTAGTTATTTTCCATTTAAATGATCTTCTTTTTTCCCATGTTACTAATAGGAATATTACAGTGCTCTGAATAGCTCCCACATAAAATAAAGGATACACAAACATTTTTGAAAATATTTTCCCTCTCTTCTCTCAGAAACATATTTCATCAAATATTCAACTCAATTTTGCAGCAAACATAATGAATACTATAATTTCTTTGTCAATCAGACTGTTAAGCATCTTTGTTTTCCAACCTATCCTTGGAAATCAATGGTTCTTATTCCAGTTCTGCATATACAAGTGAATTATATTTTTTCCCTCTCCATGTTTATATCCCACCTAACTTCAGCCACTTTCCAGGAAGCTAACAATAAACTTTATCAGTCTCTCCCTGTATTAAATAAGGGCAGACAAGGACTTCCAGAAGATGATTCAGGTCTGGTTAAGTCAGCTTCAGTTGCTCATTAAATGAACAGGTGATTGGGGGGTGGGGGAACACAAATCAACAACAACAACAAAGAGAACAGCTCTTTAATAAATGTGCTAAATGGTCAAACTCAGATGTAAATGTATGATTTTGTTGTGATGCCACACATGTTCCTCAGAGTGTTTCTTAGCCATGTACGCCAGACAACTCCACAAATGCCCATTAACTCATCACAGCTCTGTGAGGAGCACTAGGTCAGGTTATAACTAAAGCAAATGAAGCCTGATAGGTCAGTGACATAATGAGGGGTCGGGGAAAAGGCCTGGATCTCAGCCTTAGCCAGGTGTTTACAAGCCACCTTTCTGGGCAATGCTGAGAGAGGAATGGGATTTAAATGGAAGGAAAACACTGTCCTGCTGTGTCAGGACTGTGAGGTGCTGAAGGATGAAAACGTGGACATGACCTGGCAGTGTGCATTTGCATCCCAGAAAGCCAAGTGTGTCCTGCCTGTGCCAAAAGGTGTCACCAGCTGGTCAAGGGAGGGAATTGCCCCTGGCGAGACCCCACATGCAATGTTGCATCCAGCTCTGGAGATCACAATAAGAGGAGTCCACAGATATGCCCAGAGGACTGGGGCACCCCTGTTCTGGAGACGGGCTGAGAGAGCTGGGGGCACTCAGCCCAGAGAAAAGAAGGATTTAGGAAGACATCAGAGTTCTTCCCAGTTTTCTTAGGTTAAGAAGGAAGTGAGTTTTTTGGGAGGTTGTGATCAAACCAATCAGTGCTTGGATTTGAATATTGGCACCTGTTTGGCCACTGAAGATATGGACTGCGTCTGGGAAAACAGAGTGTTAAAAGCAAGAACTCCCAGGAGAACTCTCTCTTGGTCCCGGTCCGTGAAGGAGATCAGAGCTGCCCTGCCCAGCCGGGGCTGTGTGGGGAAGGGGAAGCCATGCGGCCGGGTGAGGTAGGCCGGAGCCTCGGGCAGAGGAGGGGGGTGAAGGCCTTGCAAGATGGAAGGGTGGAGGAGCCCTGAGAAGCATCGGGCCCCCCTCCTACCCCCTGGGAGAGAGATAGAGAGAGAGAGAGCCAGTGCCTGTGCTGCCTTGGAATTCGATATCATGGACTGGCAGCACAGCCGGCCAGAAGGAGAAGTGGGGATGCGGCATCGAGAACTGGCTGCTGTGGGAGTTCTGGGCAGACGGAGGTGAAAATTTTAACCCCTTTCTAGAATAATGGGGACCTTACAAATACTGATCCTCCTGAATCAGAATGAGGAGAGATGAAGCAGGAGGAAATGAGCAATTGTGATGAAAATTGGTGCATGTGAGAGATGTCCAAAGAAGTGGGAGGAGATGATGGAATGGCCTTGAGCTGGACTCTTTCTTGTATGGCCATGGACAGACCCATGTTTTTCCTGTGACCCAGAGACTGCATTTAGTGGGAGGCAATGCCTTGAAGCCAAAGAGAGTGCAGTGAAGCAGTGGTGTGAGCAGAGATGGCTGAGGAGGGTGTGGGATGCCCTCTGTCTTCGTGGAGGGGAAGATCTCTGTTCACAAGGCCCCTCGGCCCCAGGGGTAAATTTAGGGGGGACTGGTGTCCCAAAGTTGGTGAGATGCCCTCTGTCCTCAGAGAGGGTTTAAGATCTCTGTTCACAAGGCCCCTCGGCCCCAGGGGGTAAATTTGGGGGGGACTGGTGTCCCAAAGTTGGTGAGATGCCCTCTGTCCTCAGAGAGGGTTTGAGACCTCTGTTCACAAGGCCCCTCGGCCCCAGGGGGTAAATTTGGGGGGGACTGGTGTCCCGAAGTAGAGAGACTGCTGCTTTTAGAACTGGGTGAAGCATCCTTAAAAGGGGAACCCTAAAGGCAGTCCTGGTCCATGTGCAGTGGTGAGAGCACTGGACATGGAGGGAAAAAGTCACAAAGGCAAATGTTCTCTGGGCAGTGCCACGAGTGACACGGAAACACAAGAGTTTTCAATTGTGTTTCTGGGGGAAGCCTATGGTACAAGGGGAGACTCCTCTCTCCCTGATGGACTTGAGAGTTGATTATTTGAGGCGTGATGATGGACTCAAATCTTGATTATCTGAGAGATGGTGATGGTGTGGAAATCTGCGATGTTATTTCATGCTGTGGAGGAAAAGGGGGGAAGAGGAGGAATGTATATGGAGAGTTTTCATTCTTAGTTTTGTGTCTGTTCCTTTATAGATGTTGTAGTTAATAAAGTTTGTTTCCCTTATTCCTAAGTTGGAGCCTGCTTTGCTCTGTTCCTGATCACATCTCACAGGAGCCACTAGGGAAAGTGTATTTTCATGGGGGCAGTGGCATTGTGCCAGCCTCAAACCATGACACCAGTCCAAAGAGGTTAAAAGAGAACTGGAGAGGAACTTTTGACAAGGGCTTGGTGGGATAGGACAAGGGGAAATGGCTTTAGATTGAAAGAGGACAGCTTAAAATTAAAGATGAAGAAAGAATTCTTCCCTGTGAAGGGGGTGAGGCCCTGGCATAAGTTCTCCAGAGAAGCAGTGGCTGCCCCACTCCTGGCAGGGTCCCAAGGGCAGGCTGGATAGAGTTCTCAACCACCTGGGATACTGGAAGGTGTCCCTGCTTATGGCAGGGGACTGGAGGTAGATGGCAATAGGGGAAGGAACTTCATTGTCCTTCCCAAGCCAAATCATTGTATCAAGTTATCTAATACTTAACATCAATGGATTTTAATGCAAATCACTTCAGAGGGAAATCATGTCAGAAGTGATAGCATTTTCTTGTTGTTCATGAAGCATCATGGTCAGACACACCACATGGAATACTATCACAGGTGGAGAGATGCACTTCACCTGTTAGAAGAAAAGCAACAACATACTTTATTGAAATAAAACAGTGAATTAAGAAAGTTTGGTGGCAAATATGACAGTGATTCAATATCAATATACATTTGATTACTGAATAGAGAACCGGATTACACAGAACTATCAGGGAGAGCAGTGGGAGCACTGAGTCACAAGCTTTAGAAAGGAACCCTTTGTGCTCTAAACTCCTTCTCTGACAGGAGTCTGGGGATAACTGGATCCATTCCTAGTCCCAGACTTGGTCAGTGGTTCATGCCTAAAGAATGTATATCTGCACAATCAATTCCTAGCATCCCTTTGCTAAGATTTCAAAGTTTATTGTGCTATTAATCACTTCCTAAGGATCTGTTGCTGCAAGGAGTCTCTCAGACTTGAGGAATAACCTTGAGACGTCCCTACTAAAGGGGATATCCTGGCAAGCAGCCCGTTGCTGTGCAGGAGAGCCAAACAGGCCCCGGGCTGTCCACTATTTATGGACTAAGATGATGGACTTACTGTCATATTTGCATACCAGCGACATGTCTGGGTCACCCTTCCAGACAGCCCTTGGCTACCCCATTGCCATCCATCCCCCAAAGTCCAGAGTGAGATGCCAGTTGTATTAACACAGCAAAACAGTTTCTGTCACACTGGTGCAAGTGCCCTACTGGCATTGGCTTTGTCAAATCTCTGCTTCTAATTTATCATATAATTTAAACAATCCAGAGGTACAAATATTTTTATGATGTATCCCTCCATAGGGCATGTCCTGCCTGACTAAATATCCTTTCCTCACAGATGAGGGGAGGCTGTTACAGTGGGAACAGTTAAGACAAGTTCTTGATGATCTGAAACAAAAAGCTGAGCTGCTCTTCTTATTTTACACGTGCAAGTTGTTACCGCAGGAGCTGAGAATGGCCCCTAACTCAGCAAGCAGCCACAGATAGATAGTTGTTTTGACAGGAATCTTGAGGATCAGCAGCAGCTGGTGATTTAGCTTAAAGAATAGTCGCAGCACCTAAATTTGATTTTCCATCTTTTTCTCCTATCTTTCAAACTCCCATCTGAGCTTGTTTTCAAAAGACAGGACTGAAAAATGGGAAAAAATGGTATAGTAGCCATAAGGGGAGGACTCAGAGCTCTTGGCTCTGAGGTGAGCATAACTGCAATAATCACAATTAAACTCCTTTAAATTTTCTGCACTCCTCATTTTTTCCTAGTCATGGAGATAACTGTCTCAACTGAGGGGAAAAAAAAATAGATGAGGTGATTTAAAAATATCATTTTGCTAGTGTTTCTAATCAGGAAATTTGTTTTGATTATTCAGGGTGGGCTGGTTTCACATTGAATCTTTTGCACTAATTATTTCTGGCTGGTCACTAGTCAGACTTTATCTTATCTTATCTTATCTTGTCTTATATTATTTTAACATTCAATCTGCAGTAGCTACAGACATAATTTTCCATCTCACTGCTGGACAGTTCTTACTTGCTTCAGCCCGTGATCATGTCAGCCTCGAGAGGAAAGAGGTACATGTGTAGGTCACAGAGATCAGAAAGGAAAGAATTTAGGCAGTAAAACCCTGATGTGAAACATCTAAGGAGGGACAATTTGAAATTGCCATGCGGGACTCGGAACACGAGCGTGTTAACTAGCAGCTCACAGGCTTTGCCTATTCCTCTGTTCCTGTTTCAGTTTGACAGGATTGGCACAAGGAAGCTCTCAAAACTGTCAAACTAGCACATTTGATGAGTCCAGGTTCTTTTCAACCCCTATGGCAATGTCCTTTTATTCTTGCAGCAAAAGCTTGTTACCTGGTCACAAACATAGTCCTGCTTCAAAGCTCCCTGCTCTCTTTCCACTGCTGATTTCTGTATTTTCCCAGTTATTCAGCATCAAACCCAGAAAGTCCTGGACTGCTGGATTCCCAAGGCTTTCTGCTTTTTTTTTGCTCCCCTTTCTTTTTCTTTTTTTGCCACCCAAGTTCCCAAGCTTAGCCTTTTCCTTTTGCCATTCATTTTAGTGACAACCAAAGCAAAACTAGTAAGTTTGTTTTGATAGATTCAACACACAGTAAACAATTCAAGCAAGGAAACAGTTGAAGATTCTCTCCATGGGCCAGTTAAACTGAAATAATGTTGGTTTATTAAAAGTCATCATCATCTCAGTGAGACAGTATGTAAGGAAGCACAGCACCAACCAATTGCATGGATAGTATACAGAAGTACAGACCATGACAGAACATCACAGGTGTGACCATCTGTGTAAAACATTTACACACATAACATAGGACATGACAAAATATGCATTTACATGGCTTGAGTTGAAACTGTGAGGTGTGCCAGAGTGGATATGGTGTCACGGCCATCCAACCTGATGTAACTTCTTCTGATCAGATATTTTGTCTTTCTGTTTGTCCCCAAGCTACAAAGGTGTGCATGGAGAAAGTTCTGGGGCTGCTGGGATAATGAAAAGGCTACAACAAAATATGCAGGAGTCATAAAATAATTTATGTAGCAGCAAAGATTTGTCTGTGGTGAAGTCAGTCCACTATATTTGCTTTAGTGTCCCTAACCAGAAGCTCTCTGTTGTGTCCCTGTGCATGACGGAGGATGATATCCATTTGGAAAATATTTGGCTCATTTAATCTGGAAAGACATTGTCAGGAGTTGCAAAGTGAAAAGACAGAAAATAGGGTTGATATATTTTTTGCTTGTTTTTTTTTGTTTGTTTTGTTGGTTTTTTTAAACTGTTGTTCCTGTTTTACTATGAATTGCTTTCTCTGTACTCAGGTATTTGAGGCACTAGTGTTATGTCATGGTTAAGTCTATAATCTCAAACTCTGGACAAAATTGGTTGGGAGGAAACTTCAAACACTGGTGATGAGTTATGCAAGTCTGTACTAAAAAGATATTGTCTGTGGAGAATACAGCTAAATTGTTAAATTCCCTTTAATTTTCAGGGATCTCAGCCTAGCTACACTGCTGCCTGTATGGGATATATAAGGATCACATATCTGCTTTGAGTTTCCAACTCAATTTTCTCCTCATTACCAATGCCTTTTCTTATATTCAAAAGATAGAATGACATTTTGTGCAGGATTCTTGTTATTAATAAGAAATATTACCACTTGTGATTTTGTTTTCAGTTACATTGAGTTTCTTCATTTGTATGAGATTTCCTACTGCACAGAATCATGGAATCGCTATGATTGCAAGAGACTTGCAGGGGTAAATGAGTCCAGCTGTTAATCCAACACCACTGTGTCCACCATTAACCATATCCCCAAGTGCCATACCCATGTGCCTTTTGAACACAGAGATGATGATTGTGACACATCCCTGGGTAGCCTGTTCCAATTCCTGACCAAGTTCCATGACAAGAAACAGAAAACCAGAGCTCTTTTCAACTAAGTACTGACACCAGCAGCCCATGACCCTTCCATAACAATATGTAGTCTGAAAGAGCAGATATATTTCTCTCTTTTTGCTCAGTACAAACACCTGAAAGAAGGTTGTGAGGTAGGTGTTGAGTTCTTCTCCCAAGAAACAAAAAGTAGGAGGAGAGGAAACGACTTCAGGTTGCACCAGAGGGAGGTTTAAATTGTATCATAGGAAAAATGCCTTCACTGTCAAGCCCTGGAAAAGGCTGTCCTGGGCAGCAGTGGAGCCACTTCCCTGGAGGTATCTAAAAGATATGTAGGTGTGTTGCTTGGGGACACAGTTTATTGTTGAACTAGCAGAGTTCGGTTTATAGTTTGACTTGATGACTATAAGGGTTTTTTACAATGTAAATTATTCCATTATTCCATAAAAAAAACCAACCACAAACAAACAAACAAACAAACAAACAAACAAACAAAAAACCCAAAACAAACAAAAACCAGCAAAAATCTAAACAATACTTCATGAGGGTTTTTTTGATGGTTTAGGAGATATATTGGAAATTCTTGAATATGCAAGGTCCTTTTCCATTCATTCAAATGTGATCTTATTTCTCAGTCATAAAAAGCAGTCATGAAGCACCAAATATTATCAAAGGAGGAGGCACTGAAAAAGCCTTTATATCAGCCATGCCATGCAATGCCAGAATAATAGTGTGGAGCAACCAAGAAACACTAATTTGAAGCACTGTAAATGTTATTCCATTCCTGAGTAAAGCACTGTAACTTTCACTGAATGACAGTCACAACAGTGATACTGTACATAAATCAAAATTCAGACAGTTTCTGAGTACTCACATGTGTGACATACCTGCTGGAGGTGACTAAGCTACATAGAGAGTGATGGTAGGCACCTGGTTGTCTGAGGACAGTAGAAAGGAAACTGCTTGTCATTAGGCCAAGATTTTCAGGAGTTAAGTACTAATTTTCAGAGCATGACTATAATTCAGCTTCAAATAATGTGATAAGACAGGCAAAGGCAGAAAACTCTGCTAAACTCTCTGACAAGGGAACAGAAAATCCTCCACAGTTACAGAGACTCTAAGGACTTCTTCTCTCATTTGTAATTTACTTCTTCCCTATAAACCCAGTCTGACCTTGTCTGTACAGTATTGTCCAGACCTTTCATTTGTCATATGGTATATGGCTTGGTAGTATAGCTTGTGTCTCAATGTCACTGAGTGTCTGGGGCTTGGGATTTTTCACTGTTTTTTCCCTCCACTTTATGACTTCAATGGCTAAAGGAAAAGCAGCAAGAGTGTGGATGTCAAAAAATGCCTGCATGTCTTTGCAAGGGAATTAAAGTTTGGGAAAGCACAGTTAAAATTTCTCAACTGAAGTAAAAAAAAAACAAACAACTTTAAGGTCAAGTGGAGAAAATTTTTTCCTACTTTTCTAGTGATCAGATGCAAATTACTTTTTGTTGCAATTTAATTTAAAGGCGAATTAATTACAGAAAAGAATGGTTTGGATTTTTTTGGTGTTGTTGTTGTTAATTTTGTCTTGTTTTTAATTACAGAGACTGAGAACACTGAGAGTGTTAGGTTTGTTTGGTTTTACTTTGCTTTTAAATGCAACTGAAGACTCAAGAACTTAAGTATGAATTCAAAACCAGCAAAATATCTTGTGTTGTTGTTAATTTTGTCTTGTTTTTAATTACAGAGACTGAGAACACTGAGAGTGTTAGGTTTGTTTGGTTTTACTTTGCTTTTAAATGCAACTGAAGACTCAAGAACTTAAGTATGAATTCAAAACCAGCAAAATATCTACAGGGAAAACTGATGTAAAGCACACTAGAATTGGATTGTACAGGTTTTGTGCTGACAACCAAATTCATTCCCTGTTATTTCACTGAGGTATCATGATTTAGCTGTGCTGTAGCAACAAGTTTACCTACTCTAGCAATGCACAGAACATTTCTTAACCATGAACTAAGAAAGCTGAAGGTTTCTGAATAGTCTGTCAAAACTACAGAAACTCATTACACAGCTTATTTTTTACATGGCCTTGAACTTCAGAATCAGAAATTCTTTTACTAGAACAATACTGAATTTGTTACTGCTCGAGAAGATACTTTAAACATGTGTGTTCATGTTTATTTCTGGTGTGCATAAATATGTGTGTACAGTGTGTAAGACACTGTGTATATGGATTTCTACAATATGTCATCTGAACAGACATTGTAATGAGAATCTACCAGAAACAATGTTTGTTGCAGTGACCAACTTTTAAAATTAAAATGCAGCATCTACATGAAATATTCTGCCTTTTAGAATCCATTCTTTCTGGGAATGGAATGAAACTATCTTTACATTTTTTGAAGAGTAAGGATTTCTGAAGATGTAGTAAACTTGTGCTAATGGCCAATTTTAAAATTTTGAGGGCTTCTTGGATCTGGAGTTATTAAGAAGTGAGGAAAATCCAAAATCTGTGAAACTTCCCACCTAACTGCACAAGAACTGAGGAAAGAACCAGAGGGGTAAAATTGAGTTAGAAGCTTTTTAACAGGTAAAGCAAAAGTTAGGTAAAATTGAGAAAATTTTACCCCTCTGGTAAAATTGGGTTAGAAGCTTTTTAACAGGTAAAGCAAAAGTTGTGCATGTTAGCAAAGCAAAGCAAGGAATCAATTCACTGTTTCCATGGCAGGCAGGTGTTCAGCCATCTCCAGCAGAGCAGGGCCCCATCATGCGGAACGGCAGCTTGGGAAGGCAAATTCCAATCATACGCCCCTTCCTCCATCTTTTCCCCACTAAGCATGGCGCCACATGGTCTTGAACATCACTTTGGTCACTTGGGGTCACTTTTCCTGGCTGTGTCTCCTCCCATTCCCATGCCCTCCCCAGCCTGGCCATAAGAGATGCATGAAAGGTCTTGGCTCTGTGCAAGCCCTGCTCAGCAGTAACAAAAATATCTCTGTGTTATCAACCAGCACAAACCCAATACACAGCTCCACACAAGCCACTGGGAAGAAAACTACCTCTACCTCAGCCCAAAATGAGCACAACATGACATCCCAACTCACCTTATCTGGACAATTCTCTGGCTACGAGTCAGATCTTGAATTCCCCAGGAGGCCGTTCTTCTCTGTCTCTTTTCTGTACATATCCTTGAACTGATCAGCCACATCAGCAGCGTTAGGTATGAAATAAGAAGCCTGACCTTTGGAATTGGCTCTCCCGACTGATCAGCTCAGCACTGATGTGCCTGGCATATTTTGACAGCACTGGGAGTTGCATATGGGAATTGCACATGTCTAGATGGGAAAATATTTTAGTGAGAGGAAAATTCTATAGAGAGGGGCACAGCAGAGGGAGAATTTCTCTGAACAGAGAGATGCAGTTTAGCTGGTTATTTTCTGGCCATTCTTTATTGTATAAAATCAGGTTCTCTTCAGTATTGAATTGCCTATGCATCCAATGAGATCGCAGTCAAGCAAAAGAATGTCCTACAGACATGAAAAAAATTAGGATGTAATATATATACTAAGTAGCACCCAAGACCAGATGACGAGAAATATCAGAAAGTGGACAACTCCTACTGTCTCTATCCCTTTGAAGGCAGGAACTGAGGCTGTGTAAAAGAATTTTTACTTAAGAGATAATTTCTTTTTGATAAGGTTTAGTGTTTGTCTAGATGATTTAAATGAGTCCTTGGTACAAATTACGCTTTCTGAGATGCTCTGTTTCATGCACATTTATGTTTTAATGTACAGAGGTATTTCTACATTTTGTCATGATTTTTTCCCAGACCAACATCAAGGGCTTGACTCCTAGACTGCAGAAGAAAATCTGTGTTTCACAGAGGCTCTGCCATCTTAGAGGAACACACGTGACAAGTGGCTGAGTTTTAAAGAAGAATCTGGGACCACCAGAAAACAAATGTAACACATGAAGGGTAAGAAATTCAAAATCTGTGGGTGGTCATTCTCACTAGCTCCTGTGGACCTTCTTACAGCCTGTGAGTGCTGGGGACCTGACCCCTGCACACGTTCATGTTCTCTGAATAACCTGAGAGGACAATTGTCTTTTTAGTCGGAGTTGGAAACACTCCAGTATATCTTTCACAAAGGGGAGAGTATCCAGAGATCTCACAGTGTGCGTCTTATACACTTTTTTTTAAATTTTTTTTTTTTTACAAACATGCCTAGCTCATATTCTCTGAGTTTATCTGGACGCCTGTGGGAGACCCAACATAAGATCTGAGGAGTGCAATCATATATTCTCAAGCTTCAAAGGCCCTACAAGCCTTTTGTCATGGGTTGTTCTTTTTCTGTCAGAAACACAGAGTTGCATCCCCTTTAATTATTGATATCAGCATCTTCTTTCCATGGATGTGCTACACTGTCCAGTGGATGCAAAACCCCAGGGTGCACCCACACACTCTAAGCAACGTAAATCATTATCTTTGGGAATACTGAGGGTGACAGAAGATGGCAGGAACACGGGGGTCACCTCGCAGGCCAGGAGAATGCTACACCATTTCTGCCAGCACCCCCTGCCCCATGAGAGCAGTGGGCAGGGCACCCAGCACTGGGCCATGGAGCAGCAGGTCCAGCAGAAAGGCTGATAACCTGCAAGTCAATAGAGTTTACTGTGAAATGATATTACCACTACTTTGATGAGGAAAAGACTTTTGCTTAAGTAATGACATCAATCCTAAATAGATCTGACAATAATACTTGCCATCGGTGGAGCTTAAATAGCTTTCCAGGGGAAGCTGGGATCAGGAGTCTGATATGAAGTGAATGTCCCAGCTCAGCAGCAGAACTCAGAGCAGAATTAAAGTCCTCTGAATTACAGTGCATCTTTCTCTGGGCAATACTACTGTGTCCCTCTCTAAAGTGTCACACTCCTTCTCGTTGATCTATGTGTGATCATACCCCTAAAACAAAGAAAAGCCATGTAACAAATGTTTGTGGGAAGAGTCTGTCCAAATGCTTCCAGCACATCCTGGCAATGTTTATTACCATATGTATCCTGCTTGTTAGACAGCTACCTAAGAAGGACTTCCTTGCAGTTAAAGTATGTGACACAGATGTAGCCAGATTAAAATTGCACCTCTGCTACCAATCTCCTTTCTGATGCTGGGCATGGCGTTTAATTTACCAGACCTACTAACCATACAGCAGGGAAAGCATCATGCAGCCCTGGTGAAGTGAGCTATTTATAACACCAGATACAAACAAATTCAGGTTATAAATTAATTTTGTTTCTACAGAACAATGAGATATTTTTAGAAGTTCAAAATAGCAGAACTTCTCTTTACTTTTTATAGTCAAACAATTCAGTACTGCCCAAAATTTCCTCTGTCAGATCAGGCTGGAAATACTAACAAAGATTTTGCTGGACATGAGTAAGAATGTTGCTTACGTAGAGAAAAGGAGCAGTTGCCCACTGCATGGGACAGGAATTTTGACTCTTTCCTTTTGCCATCTGAAATGTGGTAGCTCTGTACAAGTTCAGCAGCAAGCCACACAGGGAAGGACTGAGGTAAAAACTACTTCACCTAGGTTATTTAAGGATATAGCAAATTCTGAAAAGAAAACTATAATTACATTGGACTTGAGATCTCTGACAATGTACTTAGAAGATGGTAGACCTCAAGTTGCAATATAATTTTATCTATGCCAAACTGGCTGATTTTCTGGCAAAGAATATGAGAGAAGGAACAGAGCTGCAGACAATTAAAGCTAATTTTGGGCTGCAATATCTTTCTTGTCTGCATCTTCTCTGGCTGGTGGGATTAAGCATGAGGAGCCTTTTCACACTGGTGAGACCAGACTGTGCCCTCAGAGTTATGTGTGTTGTGGTATTGGATTCTGCTGTGCCTCCTTCAAAGGCAGAATGAGTTGCATTTGATGGTGTTTCTGAATCTCTGTGAAGGGAAGAAGAATATTTAAATGTTGTGAGACATTTGTGCAAATTAATGGCTGGGGAATATCTGCATGTCTATGGGTACAGGTGATTCTTTTCCTCTTTCTGTGTGGAAAAGAGACTTAGGTACTTCTGTCTCTGCCTGTATGTCTTTCTCACTGATAATGAAGGGCCTTCAACAAGCAGCAATAAGTTCTACTATATTAATTCTTCACTTTTATATTCTCCTGACTTTTACAGGTGTTCTTTGAAAAATGGCATTGGGGATTTTATGATATTTAGAGCTGTCAGGGTTCTTCTATCCTCTCATCTCTGAGGCTGGGCAATTGCTGCACAAACATAAAAATAAGGTGAGAAGGTCACTGTTTCCTTCCATGTTCTCTGACAATAGTTTCCGTCTTCATGCCCTCTTTATTTCCCCCTTCATCACACTGTTCTTTCTACCCCAGAGCTTAATCACACTATCAAATACACCTAGATTATAGGCTTTTTTAAGTCTCAGCTCTAGCAGAACCTTAGATATCATGTTTTAGAAAGGATGCTTTCTGTTAACACATCCCACTGGAGGTGTAACTTAGAGCTTGTTAATGGATTCACATTGTCTATACCAAGGTTGGCATTATGGATAGGTTAGGGATCCAAACCACTTCCTCACTCTCAGCTATTGTTCTTCCACAAAGTAAACCTGGGCATGCACCCTGGATAGCAGATCTGATGTCCTCCAACCAGGCTGTATTAAGGTCATGTGGAAAATTGGGATCCTAAAATACTTCACAACACACTCCATGAGGAACATCTGGACAGAGGAACAGAAATTATAGCTGCAATATTAGCAGCACAGCTGATTGTGGGTTTTCCATGTTTTAACATAAAGCCCATCAATGGCTAGAAAATAAGTGCTTGTGCTTGGTGCTGGGGATTCCAGTAGGCACAAACCAACAAATGACCTGCATGCCTGCATGACACAGCACACTGCAGGGAGGGATGAGGTGAGGTTAAGGGAAGAGTGGTGGAGTCACCACAGATTTGACCATGCCCAATCTGCAGAAAAAGGGAGAGTTGCTTTCATGGCAAGTGGTGGTGCTCAATCTGCTGTTTCAGCTCCTCCCTTCTTCCTTCAGCTCCTCCCTTCAGCTCCTCCTTCTTCCCCACGGACAAGCAGAGCAGCATCAGGGCTGCCCAGCATCTCCTCACCCTGTGTTCCCTTTCCTGGCCACCTCTGCTTTCCCTGCTGCAATACAGGCTGGAAACAGCTTCTTCTCCAGGGCTTCCTGCAAAGTCTTGAGCCCGTGTGACACAGCCCTCCTGAGTGTTTAATGCATAAATCTTTACTCTTTTCCTGAACACCAAATTCAGAGTAGTTCCAGAAGAGGCTGTTGTTAAAAGCAGTGACTTATCATTGGGACAAGAAAATATTGAGACTACTAAAAACCTGCATCCAGACATTAATTCCCTAAAAATGAAACTGTAGTCATTCAAGAACTGAATCATACAGGAAAAATGAAACTATCTAGACCAAACTAAAAGAAATGGTCAAAATATTGCACTATAGATTCAAGAAAGCAGGAAAAGGAATATAACCTCCATCCTGGTGAAGAAATTGTCCAATAAAATGGCTTTCCCCCTGCTTCATCAAATATTCAAAACTGTTTACCAAATATATGTATTTTCTGCAATAAAACCGTGGTGTGAGTTAAGCTTGTGAGCAGATGGTTGTAAGTACATAAAATTTAAAATCTGAAATTCAAGATGGTGTGAGCAGATATATAAATCATATGATATGTTTTTCTGATTGGATGAGCAAACCACAACTCTTAAAACCAGACTTCCATTGCAAATAGCAGCATTTTGTGAAATTCACCTTCTGTTAGTATTTTTTAATAGTTGTCTAAAATTAGCTGTTCCCAGGAACAACCCAGCCAGCAAACTCATTAACTAAAATAACTGCAGAAAACAAACACAGAGTGGGGGATAACCTAGTCAGTGAGACCTTGTTTTATAAATTTGAGTAAATATTAGTAGAGCATTTAAAACAGTTTGTCCAGCTCTATCAAAAGTTCATGTGTGTTATGATTGAGCAGGGCAAATAAAATAAATTTTAAAAGCCACACAGAAATCTCAATGTAAGAAAACACAAGTGAAAAAAGCATAGCCTCATGAATAACATTGACAAGTCAAATAATGAAATGTATATTCCTTTCAGACAAGACCATGCTTAAAAAAAT